AGGGTCATGCTGTGGCAACGGTTTTGTTGACTTTGGAATAGGTGTTAATCGGGAGTGATGATCGCCGAAAATCTTCGTTATTCAAAGGGACATAATTGGTTCGCAAAATGTAAGGTCCGGAAATAAAAGTGCAAGGGTCGAGGAGTCTCAGATGTAGAAAAAACATAAGAGGAGGCGAAAATCGCCGAAATGAGGTCGTTTTTAATAAAGAGGTAGGGGAAGAAGTGCAGTTTAATTCCCAGCATTTTTGAATATAAGTCTTCATTATCACTCAAAAATCACTCGGAGTCGATACTGCCCAAGGAAAATTTCTTGGCAGGCCAGTGATCTGATTACGCCGTTTGCAGGAACTTTCACCTTAAAATGGCACAAATCCATAGTCGGTAATGGATCCCTCCCAAAGCAGAACGTTGCCGAAATGCCCTTATACCACACAAATACTTTTTCAGAAGTCTTCCCTCCAAAGTTTGAAGCCATCTGGGAACATATTCCTGAGATTTTTTGTTTCCAAAAACCGTTCGATTGCTCAATGATGTGTGCAGGCGTCTCTACTGGACACCCTTTCATGTTTGCCAAGGCGTGAATCCACTCAGAAACCAGCATTACAGAAAAGGAACTTTTTATGACCATAAATAAGCTCAATTCTTTGAGATTCAGCGCTAAACCTCAAAAACCGGCTAGCGGTTCATAAACGTCGGTCAATTCTTCTGTGACGACGTCGTCTCAAATTGACTTCAACTGTAGCATTTTATTCTCCTACTTCTCTCTCCTGCCTTCCAAAATTTGTTTGATATCTCACTTCTGAACATGAACTTTGATCAATTTCAGTAACAATCACTCCCAATAATCAGCTTCAACTGTGTGGCGTATCGGCTTGTCATCGAAGCCACTTTTATTCGGCATGTCGCAATTATTTCGATCATTTATTCTGTCCTTATGTACGCCTATCTACTTGACGGCAAATTCCAACATCAATTACGGTCAGTTTCGATGAACTTTCGTAAATACTTTCGCACTGACTGCCGCGGAGCGCTACAACACCTGTCAAGGGAGGGTCAAGACTGTCTCGTTCTTAACCGAATTTCCACATATTGAGAGCTATAGTCTTACAGGACCTTCTTCCAAGACGGCCTGAGACCAAGACCTTGCTGGAAAATTGGGTATATACCATATTCATTGAAGAACTAACCACCAAGTGCTCACCCAACGCCGTAGTTCATATTAGGCTCACCTCAGATTGACTAGGTTGGCGAGGGCACTGATCACTGAAGCTCTAATACTTCGTAGAGTGCAACTCATCCGTTATCTACGGCTCGGTTGCCTAAGCTCCATCGAGTATGGTCATGCCACCCCTGTAGTACTGATTCATGTCTGAAGACCTGCCGCGCTGCAGCTGTTGAAATTCTTCCAGGTGTTTTTCTGCTCCGCTGGCTAACAATCACTCGACCGATATGTCCAACGATCACCGTTGAAGCGTAGCATATCGTGCCTACCGCTTTTTTGAATAATGGCAGCTAGCGGTCTCATTCTTGATACCAGTTCGGTCTCTGCAGACTACTAGCAATGGAATATCACGCACTACCGATACTGAACACACAGGGTAATCAACCGCCCTCTTAATGACTATCATGGAATGTGCTTTGAAAAGTCGCACTCGGCTTGGACAGCTCAAAGGTGAAGACATCATAGTATTTGTAAATAGATCTAAACCTATCAAACGAATGCTATCATGTCAGTCAAGGATCAACGACCGAGCAGACGTTTAAAAAACTCAAATCCGTACCTTTTCTAAAAACCGTACCTTTTATACCCACCACTGTTACCAAGAAATTGAGTAGTGTTCAAGTGATTATCAAGTTCAGTCAAATGAATCTCCTCAAAAACACGAAGAGTAAATTGGCCCACAAACACTAGAAAAAACAACCAAATTTGAAAGAAATTTGGCTTAAAATATTAGGTCGAGTAAAACGCTTGTTTTTCACAAGTCAAGAGAAAAATTACATCATAAAATGTAGATTTTTTAAAATTCGAATGTCTTACATAAGAAGGTCTTCAAAAGCCGTGTTTGGCAATGTATTCTCCTGAACTACGAGACATGAACCACCTCAGGCCCCTGAACGCGGTTCCCACCTAGGAAGTAAGGTAAGCTCTACATAAGGAGCTACTTTGTTCCAGAAATAAAACCCCTGCGGATGAGAACCTCCATCTATTTCAGTTGTTACAACTTGCCCTAAATGAAAAAAGTGGAAGCCGATTCCATTACCCCTACCCAGCACACGTAGCAAAGCAGGCCCATTGAGGATGGGCCACACACTTCAGCTACGAGAGCTGCTTGAACAACTCTCTTGTGGAATGCTGCCAGACAATGTCCTGGTGGATTGGAGCTAATTGTTCGTAAAGCCTTTAATTAGAAAAGAAAGCCTAGCTTTTGCGTTTATAGCTGCATCGTATGATGGCGGTGAGCTTTCCACCACTTCAAAGAAGGAAGTCCCTGTGTACTACATAGAGTCATAGGGTAAAATAGAGTAGAGTAGCTGAAAAGGTCGAACATGACCCGCTCTACAAGTAGGGGTCTCTTCTAAAAAGTAGTAAGGGTCCCTTACTTTTCAAGTGATTGACTGAATTTTACTGTAACCACCATTCACAAGGGCGAGAAGGGGTGCGACCATTGAGTGAAGGATGAAACCGATTTTGCTTGGCATTGACTGGAAGCGTTTTTCCATTTAGAATCGAATCAAAAGCAGCTATCGGCCATCTCTTGCCCCCTCTTGCTCAACAAAGGTGGCGAACAAACTGATTCCAAAAGACAAAGTTCCTAGCCAAGTATTAATAAATGATAGTCACCTCATCTAGTGGAGTATGAAACACTTCAAGTGTTTGCGGCCTACCTTCCCTTTCCTTTTTATAGAATGTGACCCCAATTAAAAAAAAGAGAAGTGCAACGGTATAACTCTGAGGTGAGTACTCCTCCTTCTTCCCACCCTTTTTGTCGAGGTTTTTCATACTGATATCGGACTCAGTTGTGAGTAAGAACTTCATCGAAAGGTTAGGTAAGAGCTTGAAGGGAAATATGCTCCCATGACTCTGAACCGGTCAATTCTCTGACAGATCTCAAAGCAGTTGACCAGCGCCCTCCAATTTCGCTACCCGAAAATATGTAGGAACTTAGCCAGCATAGAAAGCCCTTTTCTTCTTTCTTTATAGATTAATTTTATACGGTAAGCAACAATGAGAGGCCAGAGAATCCCTAATTAAGTTAGGCTAAAGCCATATATAGCAAATTAAGATGCAATCACGGGGATCGCATTACTGAACAGGACATGAAATGATCGGATTCTGCAAGCTTGTCCCATCTCGATCTCAGCGGCTTTTTCCTCATTCCAAAACACTTGCCTTTTTAGGGAGAAAAAGCGAAATCATGATGATTCTCTCATCTGTTGAGGCTAATACCCTTGATGAGATCATCCGCTCCAAACAGAGGCTCATCGTTTCCTGGAAACTGGAGTTCAAATTGGCCATTATCGTTGAAATTACTCATCAAAGGGGTGAAACGCAAGAGGAAGTATGGGAAAATATGACTTGACTTTCTTTTTCACTGCTGCTATTCTGCGACTGAAGCTCAAGAACATTCCGAGGAAGAGATTCACCCCAAAACTCACCTTTGAGGAAAGTGCTCCTTCAAGAGCAGTACCTTTTTAGGCAAAATGGTTGATTCGTCTAGTTCACAGATAAGTTGAGAACCGAATAATGCTGTTCATTTCAGGGACACACGACGATCTCCCCGTGATGTTACGGCCGCCTGCTTACTCGTTACCGTTTCCGATGCCGATTCCTAATACGGTAGGACTTGACCATCGTATCGTACAATAACTCATCTACTCGCAAGCAAACCTCCCTTTCAGAGTTACCGTGATCGGGCTCGAATAGCGAGAGAGCGCGTTTATCGTCCGAAGTTACACCGTACGCTGCACCGATCATTCGGTATCACATCCCGGATCGTTGGACGAAATCACGATCACAAAAATGGATCAGCAGAGCGAACGAGGAAGGCAGTACCTGGCCAATCTTCGACTACGCAAAAGGTTCCTTGGACCTTTCCCAGTGCTGATGTTGACATCACATCTACCGTAACTACAACTGCACAACCGCTGGTAAGTCTAGACAGGTTCATTTTTCCTTTGTTCCCACGGAACAGGATTTAAAGTTCCGATTTGAAACTTTCCGGCTCTTCTTTCACTTTGATTTACGTACTAATTATCGCATGGGAACTCCTAGTGATCCTCTAAATGAGTATATTCGATAATATATAGATTTAATGATAGTAGGCATGGTTGTGAGTTAGGAGCTCTGCGCGATTCCGAAAAAAGAAGACAATGAAGGGCCTGCGAGGGCCATCGAAATAAAATTATGTGGGAGCTAGGAGATACCCACTTGAGCACCTTCCCAAGCGCTCCTTACTCGAAGTCACTTAGACCCAAATCTCAATACTTGGCAGCATGAGGACCCGCCACAGGATTGTTAACTCCATAAGCGTGTTGTAAGGTCAGCTATGGGCTGAAAACCCTGGGTTGCTAAAGCTGGATTGATTCCTGCCTCCGACTCGATGGGAATCAAACGCCTATCTATACGGAAGGGCGTATTAGTGGCAACAAAAGAAAAGTTCCTTTTCATTTTTAGCCAACGACTTGGACAAGGCCGCCCTCAAAACAAGAGCCCACCTATCTATCCGATGCTCTCGGATCGCAGTCACATGCCATCGGTGAAGCCATCGCCAAGATCAAGGACTATATCAAAGGATACAAAAAGGTCAAATCGACTATGAAAAAGGAGTTGTCCAAGGTTTGTTCAATCATGAAGCAGTACTGTGGTAGAAGATCCAACCCTACAGCCTATTTCTGAGCAGGCAACTCGAAGGAAGATACACTTTGATTTCAGTCAAAACCTCGAAGACTACTATATGCAACGCCTTTTTTGCATGCACAGAAGAACTTGGAAAATGTGGACGAAAAAGAACAACTCCAGACGGACTCTTCGAACGATAAGTCAATAAGCCCACCTGAACCGATGAAGAACAAGCAGAAAATGGTCAGAGGCAGAATCATAATAACAATCTANTCGCAATCACATGCTATCGGTGAAGCCATCGCCAAGATCAAGGACTACATCAAAGGGTACAAAAAGGTCAAATCGACTATGAAAAAGGAGTTGTCCAAGGTTTGTTCAATCATGAAGTAGTACTATGGTAGAAGATCCAACCCTACAGCCTATTTCTGAGCAGGCGACTCGAAGGAAAATACCCTTTGATTTCAGTCAAAACCTCGAAGACTACTATATGCAACGCCTTTTTTGCATGCACAGAAGAACTTGGAAAATGTGGACGAAAAAGAACAACTCCAGACGGACTCTTCGAACGATAAGTCAATAAGCCCACCTGAACCGATGAAGAACAAGCAGAAAATGGTCAGAGGCAGAATCATAATAACAATCTATTCTTTGAACTGGAGCAGTAGATGAGCCGCAAGGAGACTCAGTCTTACACAAATGAGATATATTTTCGAGCTAAAATTTATTCAATGCGGCTGAATTTTCCATTCTCCCCACGGTTTCTTACTATATAGTAGTTAACCTCGTTCGAAAAGATGGAGGCAATGTCTAATACAACTACTTCACTAACTGATTAGTAGTTAGATGACAATAATGCAGCTAAACTGAATACATGGAGTATCACGAATGAACCAAATGATAGCATCATCTCCCGGAAATTGTATTTTTCCTACTCTGAAATATGTTTTCCAGGAAGGTACAAGTCATGCAAATCCGATGGAGTTCATAGAAAACCTCGGCAACAAGATTGAAGATGAAGAAGCCGAACGACAAATGGCTGATGGCGAAAATCCATTGAAATACATGGTCAAGGATGGCATCCTCTACAAAAAGAATAAGATTCCTGTGGCTAGGTGAGCAATACAATGATGCCAGCACTTCTCCTATTCCGCCATAACTATCATCACTACCTAAACTGATACATACACGATGGGACTGGTGATAGGGAAAGTTTTTTCAGCTTCTCTTAGTGAATCATTGCAGGATAGGCTTTGCCAAATCGGAAGCGTATCGACCTTCACCTAACAATCTTTCCAAACTGGTCCGATCGGTCAAGGCACAAACGATGGTGGTAAGTACTTTGAAAGAACACATCTTCTTCTAGATGTGAGCCAGAAAGAGCAAAGTTCCCTGCGCGACTGCACCAAAAATGAGAGCAAAAATGGTGAACCTTTCCCTTCTAAACCTTGCATTCTAAAGGTGGCTTTATTTTCTGTCCATTCCTATACTGTCAAAAAGCAGAGGAAAACCAACACTATCGGAAAACAATCGCGATTGTGATCCGCAACAATCTTTCCTGATATCATTCGATAGGTTCATTCAGGAGTCCTCACCAGTCATATCAGAGCAGGCTATCTGGCCAACGGCAAGTGGTCTATCGACAATGACAAAACTGCAAGATGGCTTCAAACCTCCTACTCCTCTAGCACCAGTGAGTTATAAACCTTTTTGAGAAATCCGCAAATCAACATTCGAAGCCTTATAATTTACGTCTACTTGGCCCACAAACTTGGATGTGTTGGTCAGCCATCTGGCTCGCTTCAATTTCTTCTCACTCGCCCCTGCGTGACCGGTTTCTCTTCCGGGGTAATTTGTTTTCAGAGAAATTGCTACATACAATTTCCTAAAGAAAAACTTATTCGGGTCGATCTTAGTAAATCGAGAACGAATTTTAAGAGTGGAACAGAACCGGCCTGAAAAGGGAAAATTTGATGACCACTGAAGTATGTGAGCCTTCTCTCCAGACCAAATCTGTAGATTACTTCAGGGCTTGCTAGAAATCAATCGTTTTGAAGTTGTACTTCACATTAAAGTACCGTCTAGACCATTTACTTGGAGTTTTTTGATTTTGCAGCCAACAGTGAAATTTCCAAGAAGTTCGTTACTCGAATTGGAGAAATGGAATGAAGATAGTGATGGAAGTGCTTCTATTCTTTCTCGAACTACGGCTACTGGAAATCTTCTGGAGGAGGCTGAGGACGAGCTCGAATTTTCAAATGATCTGATTAGTGAACAGCGTGACCCGCCTCCGTATCCATTCAGTCACTGCTACATGAACGTCGACGGTAATCTACCCAGTTTTTTCAGACCTCAGAACGAAGAGTTATCCACTCCGCAATTGCACACCCAAAATTTTCGTTTCAGGATTCATGTGCTGCAACAGGTTCCTGGAATCTTTGATGCGCAAGAGTTACCGCAAGCTTCGATCGGGACATCACTTTCACGACTGCAGCGTCCAGAAGATCGCAAACCGAATACAGAGCGACTCAGAACTTGTGTAAGTGTAATTTGATCGGGTATCACGACGGATTAAAAAAGTTTGGTTAGCCTTAGCACTCGAATAACATCTACAGATCAAGCACACCTTCTGCTATCCAGTATATTCTCTTCACCAATTCCTAAATTAAGGGTTCCCAAGCCATAAGCGGAAGTTGCAGAGTTAGCTTCGACAATAACTCTCTTCAGGTTCAACACTACTTTTGAAACCGTAGTCGGGATCGACGATTTTGCTATCCGAGCACATTTTGCTGGCGACTTGATGTGTAAGATTCAAGAAGGCGGACGATTTATCACTAACTATGCGACCACGATGCCGGTTTGCCAACTTTCAAATAAGCTTACATTAGTCAGAGTGCAGGGAAAGAGTTTGAGAAGTAGAGAAACAGAGTTTGCGCTAATTATCTCTACAACGCGAGCCCATTTTGACTGCATGCTGATCTAGCCTTTTTCACCCAGCCTTACAAGTGCTTATCAGGAGTTCCACCCTATTTCAGCAACGAGCCGGTGTACGACCCGATCCGCTTACTGTTGTGACGAGTATGGAGATCAACACGCGGAACGAAAATCAGACGGAGCAGAACATTACAGATGACTTTCCGACTCCGAAGCAACTGGATGGTGCCATTCTTCACGTACAAGCTCCTGATCAGCCCCGTCCACGAATAAACAAGGAAGACATACCCTTTCATGAGAAGTCTCGAGAAGATATCGAAAACGATAATCTAATTAGCAGAACGTAAGTAGAACGAGTTTGGACCCAGACAGCCTTGATAGCATAATCGCAAACTGCACGGGAACACATTGTTTTAATGTAGCATTTGCTTAATTTTTCATACAGAGAGGCATTTTTACTGACAAAATTGCCTCGTGTCCATTTTCATGTACATTTACCATGATCCCTATGTCATAGGTCTACATAATAATATAATGTTATTTGAAAATAAATTACTGATTTATGATGATACAGATGATCAAACATGATATCGTGATCAGATACGAAATTGTATAAACTCAGCAAGTGCAACACAAGATAATGATATGGTAATGTGATGGTAAATTATTGGAGAAATTATGTAACAGTTAATTATTACTGTAGAGTACATAAAATTTACGGATGCGCAGCAGGACTACGCGAAGAGGGTCGCATAATTCTGGACGAATAGTTGTCAAGCCGGTCCCCCCTGAGAATAAAGACGGCTCACTCTCTCAATGTATGGATTGGGTAATTTGAGAGTTCAGCGCTTCAGTCATACAAGACCCTATTTCTTTAAGGAGAATGGTAAGTAAGAAGGGAAGGGAGGAGAGAAGGATACTCGTCCAAATCCTAAGCTTTGGAAACGCTAGTCACGTTTCCTACCAAGGGCGTACCCATGAAAGCCTTGCGTCTCCACGTAGCTCACATATCAAACATAAAAAAATACTAACGAATCAACAACAAGGGAGGATAAGGAAGGAAGAAACATACTTTACAAAGCAAATGGCGCTATTAACTTCATACTCCTGCATTGACAGTGCTTGCTAGGTCTCCTTTGCCTTCAGCAAGTCGCTGCCGAATCATCTCAGCTATACATTTCTGGGTTTTCCTTTCGAGCTTCTGAACAGAACAATTTTTCAAAGGATTGACGACACTCTCACAAAGCAAAAGATTATTTTATCACACATTTAAGCACATTTGGGAGTAATTTCATTCGATCACAAAACAAAAGATGTACCTACAACAGCTAGGAAAAGCGCTTATATAAGCTGCATAGTCAAAAAAATATGTCAAAAAGGGTCACACATCTTTGGCGCTCAGTGGAAGGAACCCAGAAGAATTGTTCCAATTCTGTGATGAACTACAGTTCAAGTGTCACAGCCTGGATGATATGCTCTGGCGGGATAACATGCGAACTGGTGTTCTATGCTTCCTAGGGATTCTTTCTTAGCTAAAATGGCTTCAAAAAATTAGACCGGTAAGAGTTTTCATCGAGGTACCTACGCAACGGAAGAAACCGAAAACTGATGAGACCTTTTGAAAATAGATGATTACAACGATGAAGACTACTTTGCTGCGGCTCAAAAGAACGAAAGATAAGGAGTTGAGAAAAAATCAAAGATTTGTGCTCCCGGTTAGCAGCTTCCTTAAGTTACATGCATTAATCATGGAGCAAAGCGGGAACGCAAAGTTCATAAATATAGAGAAATTCCAGTTGCAAATATATAAAACAAAGATCAACAAAAACAAAAATGATTGAGTGAATCGAAAAGGATTGAAGGTCAAACGTATAAACTGAACAAGAACCAACCTGCAACTTCTTCTCTATGTCTCTTTTCAAATCCCAGTCAATTTTCTTCGGTGCTAATGTTGATAAATCGACAGTTTCTACAGGCTTCACGTTCTTAGTATCCTGAAAAAGGGGTCTACTGGAGAAAATGTCTTAGTAAATAATAAAAAGAAATATAAATGAAGTCTCGAAAGATGCCAAGAATATATTACCTCCAAATGGGTCGCAATGAGTTCTTCAACGACATCGAGCTTTATCTTTTCTTGTGCTGGTTTACCGATCTCCTCTGAGAATGGTTTGTAACTTCTGAACATAGAATGTGTGAGGAAAATTAGGGCGAGAGGTGACAATGGGGATTTTGGTGATGAAGACAAACCTGAACGTTTTCTCTTCAGTCTTACTTTTCTTTGTTTCCTGGCTATCCTCTCTGTAGTCTTCTTCTCTGAAAAAAAACCACTCTTTACTACTGTTGACTGAAACGCCTTTGAAAATCTACAAACAACCAGTAATTTCTAATAGAAAAGTCAGGTTGAAATAGAGCGATTAATGCACGTTGCAAGCATAGGTTATATTCGGTCAGAGAAGGGTAGGGTGGAGGGGTATGGAATGGGAAACCTCATAAAGAGGATTATGCCTGCTACATCAAACGGGAGCATATTGGAGGAAGATGTCAAAGAAATAGAATAAAATTGGAAAGAAATCTGTCGAAAGCTCTGATTTGATGGTACTGCAACGATCAGTATGTGTCTAAGCAGCCCTGCTGATTTTTTACTGAAAACAAAAATATTACGAGCTCTATATTGACGTTTTGTTAACTGTTGTTATTTCCCAAAGCGATACGAAAGACACATCGAGATCTTACAACTGAACAGGAATGCTCAACCACTCCTCTCGCACGGTCTACGGTTTGGGCACATAAACGAAAATGATTTGGTGGTAAACAAGCAAAACACTTCCGTTCAGTGAAATACGGTTTGGAAACAAAAGTCTCATGGTAAAAAAATAACTGTAAGAGCCAAACATTTGTGAATCAAAAACCAATTCCTACGATCTTCTATAATTTTGTGCCTACCGCAAATACTTTCCGGCCCGAGATTCGCCCCAATTACATGAATAATATTTTTTTCGAAATTCACGATACACAGAGCCATTCCCATAACCTTCTAAGAAGGAAAAGCACCGTATTAGCCAATAGAAAGGAAAACGCACTTCATCTCGATACCGTGCATGCGTGACTTCATTTCCAAAAGCCTTTTCTTTCTAGCTAAAGCTGCCGCCTCCAACTTGCTTGTTTCGGTGTCCATTTCCTCGTCTGAGGACGAGTGCTCCTCCTCGACCATTTTTAGTCTGAAAAGTGGAGGTGAAAGTTCCAAAGAAAGCAGCATTTCAAGAGCAATGTGTCAATAAACAAATAATGAAATGCAACGAAGTTTCAAAGACTTTCGTATGGGTTTGTAAAAAGGTCGAGTAATTCGCATTGGAGCGCGCTAAACGGCAATCAAGCATAGTTGATGTCTTCAGTCGAGGGAAAACCAGCATGTCATGGGAAATGGCCCACAGCCATGGGGCTAGGACAAGTTGGTTAGAAAGGTAGCGTTCAAGGAGCCTAGTAATGATGTCCATTGGTCCTCAATCTTCCCCACCTTGGAACGAGATTTAGTGAACCGTAGAGAACCGATTTTGCACATGGACTGCCCTCCGCGTAAGTGCGACATGAAATCAAACGAATCTCCTAGATTGACCTGAAACCAAATGCATGTCGCTTCCCAAAACGATTGCACAATTCCGACCAGATTGCCATCCAGGTGGCTTAGTCTTGGTTGGCCTGAGCGAGAACCAAGCCAGGTCTCATTGCCCTGGCCCTGCTTGCGTGACAGTGTGCAGTTTGCCACTGCACCCCCTTCGCTCTGGACAGAGCAGAGATTACATATGTTCATCGATCAAAACTTCAAAGTATAAATGCACAAGGATTATTGACGCCAAGACTACAAGCTACTCTGGATGTGTTAAATTCATCCATACAGGCACGTTTTGATAGAGCTTTCTCGGATTCCCTCGAATGGAGTCATGGACTATCCAATTTTAGTAACCCTGTCAATAGAAACGGTAGTCACTGTTTTCAATTCAACGAATTGTTTGTTTGCCAACTGCACTTTGATCACCTGCTGCTACGAACTTTCATATTCAAAATTTTCGATTCGCCATAGTCTAAACATGTTGATGTTTGATGTGGCAGTCAGAGATTTTTTCTCTACGAAATTAATTTTTCCAGCCTGGTGGGTGACAATTTCGTAATCAACAGATATTCAGGAAGAATCGATCATAGATTGTCAGCACTATGAAAAACGACAAAATCCACTTCAAACTCTCAATAATATAGCAATTTTTAGATATGGGTGTAATCAAATGTATTAGGCTGTAAGGAAAGTTCTTGCCGTTTTGACAGCTAATTTTCAAAATATCATAACTCATCGCAAAGAGAACATTTTTATTCAATAAAAGTGTCACTCGATTCTACACATCTTTGCCAACGTGACACGAGTTCACTTATTCCATTCTCATAAAAGACCGGTGATCTGGATTCCCAGAACTCGAGAAAGGCAGCTTCCGAGCCGCTTTGATTTTTGAGTTCTCGATCCTTTAAAAAGTTGTCAAGATGTTCCAATAAATGGAAGTCAGTTGCTGACAGGTCTAATGAATAGGGTGGGTGAAGGAGAGTTTCGATCCGCAGCTCGTTCAACTTCTGGAGGACGATTTGTGGCACATGCGGTCGGCCACTGTCGTGCAAAAGCAGGCGACTCACTATTGCATGTACATCTCGTGAATTTTATCACAGTAGGACTATGCGGTAATGGTTTGATCGAAGTGATTTGATCGGATGAAACGAGTAGTGGATTGACCCATGGCTAGATCACCAAACTGTGATCATTGTAACAACTTCCACGTTCGGTTTACTTAAAATCTGGGTATTTTACATAACGTTCTTTACTGTTCTGTCGTTCGTTATAAAGCGGTTCGCCATAACAAACCTGTATGGCGGAGCAGTAAAGAACATTGTGATCATTGTCTTCTTGACGTGTGAAATTAGGTTGGGAAAAGTTTTTGGAGGCTCATCTACACCTATCCATCGAGCAAGCCGTTTTCTGTTGTCACATACGATCACGACGAAGAAGTGGCTCAAAATAATTCCTTCTCAGTAAGAAACTTGAAATTTCTAGGCGCCTCAATTGTTGCTGCACCGTGAGTTGGTGTGGCACCCACATGTCAAGTTTCTTCACCATTCCAAGCTGCTTGAGACGGTCAGCCACGACTCTATGGGAAACGCTCATATGCTTTGTAGTCTCTCTCAATGGTTGACATCAATCTCCTCGACTGCTCTTAGCAAATCGTCGTTATCTACTAAAGTTGGTCGAATAACTCGCTCCTTGCCTTTCAGTCATTCGTCTTCATACTTCAACTTCTGAAACCCGTGACGAACCGCTTGCTTCGACGCAGTGCCTCCTACCCATATAGTTGAGTAAAACCGTTCGAAAAGCAGTTTTACCCCTTTTGGAAAAAAACGTCTTGAATATTTTTAAAAATTCACGGAATTTCGTTAAAGCGGCTTTGACAGGAAGAGCAAATTATGGCTCACCCAAGGGGCACAATACATCGATTGATCTGGTTTGACATTGGAACAAATTAAAAAAAATTGAATTCATATGGCGCGTGCGTGGAAACGGCAAGAACTTTCCTTACAACCTAATAACATACTGCTGAACTTCGGCGCTCTTCAACATTTTGGATGACGGTTGTCCGCTCAGAAGGGATAAGTTCCATTGAAACCCCTCTGTTTGAAATA